TATATATATATATATATATGTATGTGTATATATATATGTATGTGTATACACACACACACACACACACACACACACACACTAGAGGCCCGGTGCACAAAAATTTGTGCACTCGGGAGGGTCACTCAGCCCGGCCTGTGCCCTCTCGAAGTCTGGGACCTTCGGGGAATGACCACCTGCTGGCTTAGGCCCGCTCCCCGGGATATTGGGCCTAAGCTGGCAGTCAGACACCCCTCTATCAGCCCGGGAGCCCTCGGGGGATGTGCACTTGCAAGCGGAGAGCAGACCTAGCTGCATTCGGACATCCTTAGCGCTGCTGAGGAGGCAGGAGAGGCTCCCACCACCACCTCTCTACTGGCAGCCATCAGCCTGGCTTGTGGCTGAGCAGAGCTCCCCCGGTGGGTGTACACTGACAACCAGGGGGCAGCTCCTGCATTGAGCGTCTGCCCCCTGGTGGTCAGTGTGTGTCATAGTGACCAGTGATTCCCAGTCGCTCTGCTGTTAGGGTCAATTTGCATATTAACCTTTTATTATATAGGATAGAGGCCTAGTGCATGGGTGGGGGCCGGCTGGTTTGCCCTGAAGGGTGTCCCAGATCAGGGTAGGGGTCCTGCTGAGGTGCCTGGCCAGCCTGGTCAGGGGCTGATGGCTGTTTGCAGGCTGGCCACAGCCCCTTCAGGGTAGGGGTCCCTCTGGGGTGCCTGGCCGGCCTGGCTGAGGGGCTTAGGGCCGTTTTCAGGCTGGCCACGGCCCCCAGCCACCCAAGCTCCCAGTGGAGGCTGGCTGGAAGCAGGTATCTGGGATTTATTTAGCTTCTATAATTGAAACTTAGTTGCCTTTTGCAGAGGCCACAGCAGCCAGAGCAGGCAGGAAAGCTTGGCTTCCTCCATCGCCGGGGCAACCAAGCCTCCTGCTTGTTCCAGCTCCGTGGTTTCCGGCCGCCATCTTGGTTGGGTTAATTTGCATATAGTCGCTCTGATTGGCTGGTGGGCGTGGCTTGGGCGTAGCAAACGTATGGTCAGTTAGCATCTTTGTCTTTTATTAGTGTAGATACACACACACACACTAGAGGCCCAATGCACGAATTCATGCACCAATGAGGTCCCTTGGCCTGGCCTGCAGGATGGGGCTGAAACCAGCTCTCCAACATCCCCCGAAGGGTCCCGGATAACGAGAGGGCGCAGGCCAGGCTGAGGGACCTTACCGTTGCCTGATTTGGGGCTGGGGAGGGATGTGGGAGGTTGGCCAGCCAGGGAGGGATTGCGGGAGGGTTCCAGGGCATGTCTGGTCCTTCTAGCTCAGTCCTGTTCGGCCGGGCCCCAGCAGCAAGCTAACCTACCGGTTGGAGCGTCTACCCCCTGGTGGTCAGTGCACATCATAGGGACTGGTCAACCAGTTGACTGTCCCCTGGTGGTCAGTGCAATTCATAGCAAGTAGTTGAGTGGCCTTAGCATATCATTAGCATGTTATGCTTTGATTGGTTGAATAGATGACTGGATGACCAGATACTTAGCATATTAGGCTTTTATTATATAGGATATGTATGTATATGCACCTATACATACATACCCTATATAATAAATATATGCATATCCTATATACATATATGTATATACATACATATATACATATAAAAGAATTGTCTTATTAATCAACCTAGCATACTTCATTTTTATATAATACAGCTGTTCAATTGAAAATGAGTTCTGCATCTTTTTGTTTTCTAGAGGTTTTTTGTTTCTGTTTTTGCATTTTGATATTTCAACCAAATAAAATAATAAGTTTTTGTTTGTTCCTGGGGGAACAATAAAGATTCAACTCATTCTCATTTTAAAGTCAACTATGTCGACTTTTATAATGCTTGTTTTAGCTTAAATCTTATGTTATTGATTGATTACATAACATACTTTAATGAATTCAGCCTGTTGGTGTGGTCACAGTTTATTCATGTAATAACAGTATTAAAATATAACTTTATGGATGGGGTCCCTAAATTAGATCATTAGGAACAACAAAAAGTGTTGCTTTTATAATCTTAGTTTTAAAGTTTAAGAAGGAGAATGACATGAGAGCATTTTCATCCAACTAGTGGGTTAATATAATTCCAAAACAAAATCCCAGACCCATCTACCTATTCCTTTGCTAAAAGTCCATTTTCATGGCTTTTTATAAGAGTGAAGGAACTAATGTGATGGAATGCATGGATGGGGAAGTGGCAAAGAAGGTTTAGTAATCAATATTGTTTCCCAGAAGTTTTGTATATTTTATATACATCGAATTATATATATAATTACACATACTTGTAGTGTACATAAATATATGTAAGGTATCCGTGTATCTCTATATAAGATGAATATGCACATTATATATATTTGTGTGTATATATGTACCTATATATGATTTATATATGGTATATGGATGTACCGTAGCTACTTAAATAAAAATTTGAAACCAGGAAAATAAAATTAATATTGGTTAGGTATGCTTATGTTTGGAAAAAACTATTTAAAAAAGGGTGAGGGAATATTAAACACAAAACTCAAGTGGTTTCCCTTAAGCAAAGAGAATGATTAGGGCTGGTGATGGGCAAAAGGCACAAAAGGTGGAGATAGACTTTTAAAAGCTGACACTTTTATTTTCAAATGTTTGTTCCAAACTAAACATATATATATATATTTAATATTAATCTTTAGGTGTGATATAGTTCACAGTTAAACAAAGTTGACTTTGAGGAGAGTCTCTGAATTTTAGCCTTTAAAGAAGTAATGCTTGCTCATCTTAGTATTTCTTGCGTATATGCATAGTAGAAGCATCAGTTTATAGACAGTTTTTGTGTGATAAATACTTGGGTTTTAGATTAAATTTTACTTGTGTGTTTTTTCCATCATAGTTAATTTATTTTAATTTAATGCTTTAGAGTAACAACAAAGTGATAAATTGTAGGAAATCATCCTATATAATAAAGAGGTAATATGCAAATTGACCATCACTCCAACACACAAGATGGCCGCCCCCATGTGGACACAAGATGGCCAGCAGGGGAGGGCAGTTGGGGCAATCAGGCCAGCAGGGGAGAGCAGTTGGGAGCGACCAGGTCTACAGGGGAGGGGAGTTGGGGGGGACCAGGCCTGCAGGGGAGGGCAGTTGGGGGTGACCAGGCCAGCAGGGGAGAGCAGTTAGGGGCAACCAGGCTGGCAGGGGAGGGCAGTTAGGGGTGACCAGGCTGGCAGGGGAGGGATGTTAGGGGCAATTGGGCCAGCAGGGGAGGGCAGATAGGGGCAATCAGGCTGGCAAGGGAGGGAAGTTAGGGGTGACCGGGCCAGCAGGGGAGGGCAGTTGGGGGCGACCAGGCCTGCAGGGAAGGACAGTTAGGGGCGTCCAGGCCTGCAGGAGAGGGCAGTTGGGGGCGACCAGGCCGGCAGGGGAGGGCAGTTAGGGGCAGTCGGGCCGGCAGGGGAGCAGTTACCCGTCGATCAGGCTGGCAGGGGTTATGGTTAGGGGGGTGATCAGGCTGGTAGGCAGAAGCGGTTAGGGGCAATCAGGCAGGCAGGCGAGCGGTTGGGAGCCAGCAGTCCTGGATTGTGAGAGGGATGTCCGACTCTAATTGGGCAGTTGGACATCCCTTGAGGGGTTCCAGATTGGAGAGGGTGCAGGTTGGGCTGAGGGACACATACACACACACACACACACACACACACACACACCGTGCACGAATTTCGTGCACTGGGCCTCTAGTATTTTATAAATACAATCAATGTAAACTTTTCATCAAATACCTATCTAATAAAAAGTTGTGCATAAAAAGATAAATATTTTATCCATGTATACATATATATACCTATGTACATAAACACAACCTATACAGGTGTATATATACACACTTAATAAGACATAAAGAACATACATGAAACCACTTAAGAAGTTGTAAGTTGCCCTAGTCGGTTTGGCTCACTGGATAGAGTGTCGGCCTGGGGACTGAAGGGTCCCAGGTTCGATTCCGGTCAAGGGCATGTACCTTGGTTGTGGGCACATCCCCAGTGGGGGGTGTGCAGGAGGCAGCTGATCGATGCTTCTCTCTCATCGATGTTTCTAACTCTCTATCCCTCTCCCTTCCTCTCTGTAAAAAAATCAATAAAATATATTTTTAAAAAAAGAAGTTGTAAGTTAATTTTATAACCTCTGTGCAATGTGATTTTCAAAGTTATAAAGTAAAAATATTTTTAAAAATCAGGAATCTAAGTTGTGATCATTTAAATTTTTTTATCTCATTCTCTTCCATAACAAATGTCATTTAAAATGGGTGATTACTTCCTTCTTGTGAAATAATTATTTTTTGTTGCAAAAAATAGTTTTTTTAAAATCTCACAAGTATTTCCTTTTTTAAACCATGAACCTTAACTTTATATTTAGAAAGTTTTAGTCCCTATACATAGAATGTTTTATTTATAATCAGTATTTGTAAAATCTTCCCAAATGATGAAAAATATATTTGTTTTTTTAAATAATATTTTCAAAATGTTTATCTGACAAAATATAATTATGGTATTTCCAAATACTGCATTTAGTCTAGCCATATATAGATTCTGTTGTAGACATAAATATTTGATATAATTAATACCCTAATGCACTGTTAAATTTTTTCAATGTAATGAACTTTGTGCATTTGAGTTTTCATTTTTTAATACATTGGAAAATATTAATAATACCACTTACTAATTACTGTTTTTCAATAAATTACAGCTAAACATTTATCATTTTGGAGTTTAAAGTATGTCATCATGGCAAAGTTTCGAAGAAGGACTTGCATCATTTTGTCACTTTTTATTCTATTTATTTTTTCTGTGATGATGGGTTTAAAAATGTTGAGACCAAATAAAGGTATTTTTGGAGCTCCTTTTGGACTTGATCTTCTTCCAGAAGTTCGTCAACAAATTCCTCGCTTGGGGAAAATTTTTGATTCCGAATTGAGTGACACAATCAACAGTGAAACAGATACCAAGAATTTAAAAAATGTTGAATTTACTGTGAAACCTCCCAAAGCATCTGAACCTTACCTGGAAGAACTGCCACCTCTGAATTATTATTTACATGTATTTTATTACAGTTGGTATGGAAATCCACAATTTGATGGTAAATACATACATTGGAACCATTCAATGCTGAAGCATTGGGACCCTAGAATAGACAAGAATTATCCACAAGGGAAACACAAACCTCCTGATGATATTGGCTCCAGCTTTTACCCTGAGTTGGGAACTTACAGCTCTCGGGATCCTTCTGTCATCGAAACTCACATGAAACAAATATACTCAGCTTCAATTGGTAATTATTTTATTTTATTGTGTGTGTATGAGTGTAAAATATATAATTCTTGTAGAAAATTAAGTTACTAATCTTCACATTATTAATTATAAGTGTAGACTTACAAACTTCAAATTAAACTATATATGTTCTTAAACATCCAGAAAACCACTTTTTTTTTTTTTAATTCTAACCCAAGGATATATTTTTTTAATTGATTTTTAGAGAGAGTAGAAGGGAGGGGGGAGAGAAAGAGAGAAACATCAATGTGAGACAGACACATCGATTGGTTGACCGGGGCCAGGGATAGAACCTGCAACCCAGGTACGTGTCCTTGACCGGGAATCAAACCTACAATCCTTCCGTGCATAGGGTGACACACTAACCACTGAACCACACCAAGGGCAGAAACCGCCTTTTAACTTTATGTTTAATTTTAAAATTTTGTAGGATTTATGTATATATTTTTACTGATTTCTAATTTACTACTCTTTTAGAATTTTATTAAATATTTATGTAAGAGACCATGAATTCTCCACTTTAAGTATACAGCTCAATGATGTTTTTCAAAGATGTACACCTGTTTAAATACCACCCGTCATGAAGTAAAATACTTTTTAGCCCAACAAGTCTTTTCATGATTCCCTTATTTAGCCCCACCATTCCACCCCAGAAATCTATGAATGTCATTTCTGTAACTGTAGAGAAGTTGTGAATGTTCTCTTACTACATAAAAATAGAATTATTCGGCATTTGTGTGTGTGGTCTTTTGCTCAGGCTGCTATTTTGAAATTTACCTATGATAATGATATCAGTACTTTCTTATTGCTGAATAGTATTCCATTGTAATGATTATAGCAATTTAGCAGTTTGTTTCTGCATTCATCTTGATGGACATTTGGGCTGTTTCTAGGTTTAGGCATGTAGCATATGATTTGGTCTTTTTTCTCTGTTTTTTAAAACTAGTCTGACAATCTCTTCTCTTTTTTAAACATATATTTTTATTGATTTCAAAGAAGAAGGGAGAGGGAGAGAGAAAACCATCAATGATGAGAGAGAATCATTGATTGGCTGCCTCCTGCATGCCCCCAACTGGAGATTGGGCCTACAACCCAGGCATTTGACTTGACTAGGAATCGAACTGTGACCTCTTGGATCGTAGGTCGATGCTCAACCACTGAGCCACACCAGCTTGGCAATCTCTTTTTTAATTTCTCTGTTTATTTCATTTACATTTAGGTATAGTTGAATTTAAAAGTTTCATTTTACTATTTCTTTTTCTATTTATCCCATCTGTTCTGCTTCTTTCCCCCCTCCCCTTCCTTCTCTTATGTTTTTGCTGTTTGATATTTTCCTCTGGTTTATTACATATAATCTATTTTATTTATTTTACGATTGTTGCAATGTTTACAATATGCATCTTTAATTAAATGGGTGAGAAATCACCGGTAATTTTTATTCTTGTTCCTCCTTTTCTTCAACTTTCTATTCTCTCTAATTTCTGGCACTCCAGTTATACATATTTGAAAGAGACATATTATCCCACTAGTAAATAATATGAGAAAAATATTATTGGGTGCCTAAAAATTCTTCAGGTCATTAATATATGTTTTATAAAAACCTCCCTGTTTTGGTTCCCTTTGTCTTCTTAGTATCCCTAACACTAGGGCCATAAGAAGAAATTAGGTGTTCTCACATTTTTCTAGTTGTACAAAAGGTACAAACTCACTATCAATCTTCTATGTATGTGGAGACATGCAAGGCTTTTTCATGAACAAAACAGTACAGAAATTTTGTGAATCTACATCAACTATGTGTAAGATGGCTTGTTTTTCTTCTGTGGGATTTTTTTTTCAACCATTTAAAACAAATCTAAGTTTATAGTATATACTTATAGCTCTAATTTCTATGTTCTATGACATAAATTATGACAAAACTAGAGGCCCAGTGTATGAAATTCGTGCATGGGTCTCCAATCTGGGGATCCCCTTGGGGGATGTCTGACTGCTGGTTTAGGCCTGATCCCCGGGGATTGGGGCCTAAACCGGCAGGC